GGAGAGGGTGTCATACTAGGTGAACTTACCCCCCTTTTGCCTTCCTCCCCCCCCCCCTCAAAGATTTTTTTTTAGCTTTTTTCTATTTTTTAACTTCTTCTTTTCTTCATCTCATGTATTGAATTATAGCTTAATTTATAAAACTTAAGTTAGATTAAAAGGTGATATTTCTTCATCATGTGCAAGGAATTTTTTATTGAAGGGGGGTTGGGTCACTTAAATATTCTTGAAAATTGAACAAAAAGTCAAAACATGCTTATTATTTTAAGCGTTTATTGATATATTCAGTAGTTTAATAGTGACACGACATTTAGAACAAACATGACGCGATTAACAAGTACGAGGTCGTCGTCTGGCTGTGTGTCTGGGGGTGACGGCTCCATCATCATAATGTACCACCTCACACAGGTGAATGAGTAGCAAGGTTACCTGTTACCTACTAGTATGTAATGATGTCACGTGTGGTAAACATAGAACCGCTCTATTTAGTTCATCGATCGTCATGAGTTTGTTTTGCTCTTGATGTCAGCACTATAATTATAATAAAACAGTTACAGTTTAGGTGTTTTCCTGGGTGTTCTTATCTTACCTGACAGATGTGTGACCTCAATTATAGGTTAATATGTATTTAAGTGCAACTTCAGTTACAGTTAATGTAATATTATATTTCTTGCAAATTATATTAGAATGCGGGTAGTGGTGGACCAGTTGTTAAATTATACACATTCTATATATGGGCCAGATATGAAAAAGTTGTTACCTGCTGGTATCATTAACTGACCATTTATCTGGAAATAAAGAGAATTTGATTTTGTCTTACAGTTTGCTTTATATAGCAGTTAAACTTGTACTTGTTTTTAACTCTGATAAAAAGAAATAATAAAGGGCATGCAGTCAGCAATTTCAAAAAAATAAAATTTTTTTTTTTTTGAAAAGTGGACCTTTTCACCATGAAACCTATAAATACATGTACATAGAGCCTGGATCAAATTTTGAGTCGGAGTGGATCTTTTCCTGGCCAAAGGGTTGTTTTTACCTGAACTACCTTTGTCTGTAGACCTCAGTATTCCAGGTTATTTGGTTCCCTCCCATTTGACGAGAGGACAACTCTGACATCACATGAACTCTTGTCTCAAACCCGAAAAAACACAGCATGTATACCTCTGTGTATTTACTCATCACACCCCCATATTTGAGTTCAGAGATTAGATGAACCTGTCTATATAATCTGATTAGTAGGTGCCACATCTTGTAGTAGTCAGAGGTCGCTGTTGATACTGTTGTAGACTGAAGCATATTTAAAGCTGGGGGACGGGGTTGCCCTCAAGAAATTAATCAATGGCTAAATGAAATTAGTTTAAATGGAATGAATTAAAGCAATTAGTATAAGGGCAACTAAGAAAAAGCATGGGAACTTTTTTGTGCCACTGGACAAATTCAATTAAAAAATAAGACTGATTGTTCCATTGTGGATGTACGAGTACTTGACAATATAAACCTTATACACATTTATATAGATTACGGCTTCTTGAGTCAGAATCCTCAATATTCAATCCATAATTCCTGGAGAATGGCATCCTAACCCAGAAAAATGTCAATATCTTCACAGACACTTATCAGATAATGCAAACATTGGCGGCATTGCTCGGAATTCTTCTCATGTGAGAGTCTCTCTCAGAATATGTACTATTGGAGTTAAATGAGGAATCCCATCGATATATATTATACTGCAATGTGTGGAATAAAATCCTTTTATATTTGACTCCTAATATTATTATTATAAGACATAACAAGGAGTGGAATGGCATTTAATCTGAAAATAATGTCAAGACCAGGCTGATGATTCTGGCATTTAAATCCAATATTTGAGGCCAGATTACAAGACCTGGTAAGAAATAAATGGCATCTCATCCAAGAACAATATCCAATTAAGGACCAATTATTAAGCCCTTGCTGTTCTGCCATCTGCTGCTCTTTTAAATTTGTGTCTCAGGAAGTTGGTGATTCTGTCTGAGAAATTAGGGGTTTGATTTTCTGGAGCATTGATGTTTTACTGGGATTTTTATAACACAGTTATTTGTAATACTATTGATCCTGATCTGCCTTTCTATATAGCTTTTAACTGGTTTTCTTAAGGTGGTTTTACTGTTTGATTTTGGTCAGTGAAGTTCTTTCTGTCTAGGTTATTGGTTACATTGGTGAGAAATGTAGAAGATATGTTTTTGCAAATGTAGATTTGCTATTATTTTTGGTAAAAAGTGTATGATAATGGTGGCATAAATGCTTCTGTAGGGTACTAGTATCTGTACCAATCAGTTGGTCTGCAACATCAGCACAACTTGTATTCACTTGACCATCTGCTCTCTATCTCTCTCACACACACACACACACACACACACAGACATGTGCTTGTATAACCTGTACACATGCGCGTATGCACAGAGAGAGAGAGAGAGAGAGAGAGAGAGAGAGAGAGAGAGAGAGATGGTGTGTTTAAAATTAGGGAAAGACAGCCCTTATGCTTTTTACCCTGGGGATACAGACATTTTGTGGCCACATTTTAAGCAACTGAAGATGATTCATCAGCACTGAGGTCATCCATGTTATAATCTCCGTGGAAGTGGTAATTAAAGTTAGCGAGCAATTTTTATGTATAAATTAACAAGAAAATGACATTTTTTACGTTGGCATTTTGTACACGGTTATAGTATTTGCCAAAATATCATGGCTTTACAAAAGAAATGAATTTAAGTAAATACATAAAATTAAAATAAATGTAAAAAATGCTTATTAAAATAAGTAAATAAGTAATCCAGAAAACAGTTGTTAACCGCTTAGTAAACTTTGCTGTATTATTGTCTGCAGGGAGGTAGCAAGTAAGAACTGATGGAGAAAACCAGATTAAACATCATCAAATTAAAAATCATCCGATAAATTCAGGTTGACGTCTGGGTCTGTGTGGTAATTAGTGATAGTTGCCATGTGGAAGTCAAGTCATGAACAGCAAATATTAATGAACATGGAAATGTTTTCAATTCTTAGGGATAAATTACAGAACATCATATCATGTCATTGAGTACGTTCTCTCTTCTTGTTCCTTTCTATCACTATAAATTCTGACACTAATTTTTCCCTAATCTAGGATATATTTTAATTATTTTCTTTTCAAATAGCTGGATATTCTTAGGTAAATTAAAATTTGAACCAAAGCTACAGTAAATGTGTCAAATACAGTATATCTCATCTTTTTGTAGTATAATTAGAACATGTGTAGTGTCGGCTATGATCCTCTGTGCTGGGATGGAACATTTTGTCAGCTAATAGCAAAAAGACAATCACAAGCATGAATGAATTAAGCAGAAAATGATGAAGAATTACAGAAAAAATTGCTTCATTAGCAGTGAATAAAACTAAGAGCTGTATATTGATATAAACTGAAGTATGAGAGTGGGAACAATATTTTATCATTATGGAGTATTTTTAGTCTCTTTGTAGAATTAAAGAATATGAACATGAAGATTTATAGTGGTTGTTCCTAAGTGCTTGTTCCTAAACAGTGTAATAAAAGAGTGTTCCCTTGTTTTTTACTTTATAGTAAGAAGTGTTTGTTCACTGAGCCTTTCTTATTGACCATGGCAATTTTACAAACTGACGAGATAGTTACTGACTAGTCTAGATGAAAGCACTTGACTTTTTCCAAACATTTATTTTTCAAAACTGATAAATTTTCACTTTAAGAAAGAAGAAAAAATCACAATTGAAACCAACATACTATTAGAGATGCTTTAAATCAAAATTGCAGGAATTTTTAAAAAACGAATACATTTTGCATTCTAAAATTCGGTTTTGTTCAAATTTGTTCCAAAAGATAACCATGAACAAGATGCACTCAGTAGCATCAAGATAGCAGACTTGGTTTTCATTTTTTCCTAGAAATAAGCAGCCAAAATTGCCTCTGCTGCTGGCCTCATGTGTGCAGCTGTTACAGAACGGGTAATTTCTACTGCCAGTGAAATCATATCGATCCTCTGCAGGCTGTATATACTGTAGATACACAACCTTAGCATGTAGATTTGGTTTCGCTATCTTGTGGGAGATGATAAATCCCTACTCTAAAATGTGAAATATATGGGAATCTTTAATATATGGTCAATACATGGATCCAGGCCTATTCTTGGCTTTGGTATAAAGTTTTATAAAGTGCTTAATATTAGTAAAACCTACTTTGAATGTAATGAAAGGTGAATTTTGACATTTTTTTATCTTTTGAGCTGAAATTTTGATTTCAACAAAAATAAAATTAAGTTTTTTTTCTCAACATAGCCCAGTGGTTTTGTTTGGTACAGTGTTGCATAGACCTGACTTATGTGTAATATTTAGATCAGCGCTGGAAATTATAGAACTCTCAAATTCTGAAAAAGGGAAATACCATCACCTATTTAGACAACTATTATATGAGCATAATAACAAAGAAAAGGTCATCTAGATATATACATTTAATAGAATAAAAGCAGATGGAGAAATGAACAACAGGATGGATGGAAAGATAAATCGTTAGACGAACAGGCAGACAGACAAACAGACAGACATATTTTCTACAATGGCAATGTATGACAGTGGCAGAAAATGGGACCATAGATTTCAGTTCAGGTCCAGATGGTGGAGTACAGACTAATTACCCCCCTCGGGGGTTTGGGAGTGCTTAACCCACTATTGATCATGAAGAAAAGACTGCTCCACTAGTCTGTAGGGAATATTAAAAACATTATGTAGACATTTCATTTTTAATGGGAGAATATGTTTTTTGTCTGTGAGGCACTGATGCAGTAATTAGTATTAATTGTTCAAAGTAGTATTAATACCTAATTTAAGGGTATTTTTCTTAGAAAATATAATTTCTTACATGGAATTTTTAGCTAAATTCATCTATTAAGGTTTGGTGTGATAGAATTATGTTATGTAACTTGATAACCTGACATAGTCTTGTTTTATTGTTACAGATATATCTCACCCTGATGTCCTGAAGTTTCATCATCCTGATGCCTTCTTGGATGTTATGTTAGTATAAAGGTAAATTTTGATAATAGACATAAGTCAGTTTCTCTCTCTCTCTCTCTCTCTCTCTCTCTCTCTCCACATTTTGGTTCATACTTTTGATTGAGAAGTTGAGAGAAGGAATCAACTGATCTGGAAGACGTGTTTGTTTCTAACATCCACCACCATTTCAGATTGGGTGAAGTGAAACTAAGTGCCATTATGTGTAAACAGTGTAGACACCTAAAATGTAGGCAGAGAGATGGCATTTACACAGTCAGGCCATGTTTAAAAGAGCAGATTTGTATTGATCTGTTACTATCACTTTCAGAACCAATATCTTTTCATTTCTCTCTCTGCCATATGGCATGTACTAAAAACTGGAAAATGCCTGGTTTTAATATTTCTAACTGTTGTGCTTAAAAGGAAAAATATAAAGCAGATGCACCAAGGGTCTTCTACACTAACAGATGTGAGATTGATTTTTTGCAGAAACCATGAAATTTCTTAAGACGGCTGATTTATGCTTGGGGAAATATTGTGTCAAAATTTATCTCAGCATATTAAACTTATGGGCAGTCATTAAGCCCCCCCCCCTCCCCAGGAAAAAAATCATTATCATTTATAATCCTATGATTTATGGCATCCTGGTGTATTATTCTGAGGAAATGCCACTAAAATTACAAATTACAATTACAAATTAGTTCCTGGTATTATTTAGTCATCATATAATGTTTTTTTTTTAACTCCCTATGTTAGAAGTTTTTAAACTATATTCTTCTGTTAAAAGCAGGATTTTCAAAAAAAAATTTTTTTCTTTCTAAACGCAAATTAAATAATAAAAAAAATTACAGTTTAATAAATATTATATGAATTGCAGTATTGAGCTCATAACATGTACTAGAGCCTACTTGACCTTTAGCAAAATCATTGCTGATCTACTTCAGTAAGTTGTCCGTTTTACAATTTCAGACAGAATCATTATCCTATTAAATAACAGGTAGAAAATGTTTTTTTCCCCTTTTTTCAACTCTGTAGGCAATTACTGTTAATACATACTAGTATGCATGCAATTATGGCATGTGTGGTACTAGAAACCTAATTACTATCATCCCCCCCTTCCAACTACCCACCACCCCCTCATCCCCCCCACTACCCACCACCACCTCCCCCCTCCCCTGTCATCCCCCCCCCCTCATCCCCCACCCTGACTCCACTTCAGCGTCTATTGTCTCACTGACCGTCTCAAGAGTCCAGTCATATCGACCAGTCCTTTGTCTTCTGTATGAGTTCCAGATCATCACAATTAGATGTCAAGTGCTCCGGTGGTGAACTGTGAATCATCCATTGACATATTTTAGACATCACTTTTTTTTCCTGATCAGTATTTGTGTTCTTTATAGCCTACAGGCAGAGTGGTGTTTGTTTTGCTCAGACAGTCAGAAAAAATAATGATAAATTAAGAAAAGATAGAAAAAATGAATAAATAAAAATAAAATAATAAGAAGTGTAATTATAGTAAAAGAAAAGATAAAATGAATATAGATCATATCTGTTGTTAGAATTATACAAATAAGTAAAAAAAAATAAGTAAACGTTTTTGGTAGTAGGGAATAATTATTTGTGTTATCTTTTGTGATGTCTTTTGATTGTGTCCTGTAGTATAATAATCAGTTCATTTTCTCATCAATAAGGTGATTATATTGATCTATGGGACACATTGCGGTTAGATAATGAACGAAAGGAAATGAACCGTGTGAAGGAGGTTGATAGATAAAAGATTCAGTATTGAATACCCTATTGTACAACACATTTGATGCAGTGTGAACTAAAGAAATAACTGCTAAGTGCTTTAGCACCTGTCTTTCCTAGTCAATGGTTGTAAGTATATTTATAGACTTTTTTCCCCTATATTGATTCACTTTGTTTTCAGATATTATGCTATCATTGATATCATTTTATGCAAATAAATCCACTCTCTTTGAGTTCTAAGGAAAGTCTTTGCAGTCCCTTGTTTGGCTGCGTAGCATATCTAATATTGTTAATATGATAATTCTATATGATAGATAGCCTCAGTAGAATAGAGAAGAAAGAGTTACTACAGTACACACTGTTCTGAAAAGTGTATTGTCTGAAACTGTTTTGTATGCTGCGCAAGGAATTCTTATCTAATATTGGCGACATTTAAGTGCATGCCTTGAAGGAAAAAGAACTGCTCATTTGTGTATGTAATTGATGCCATAATACCAGTGACATAGTCCATCATTTCTGCTCACATTTTCCCATTAAACTTTAACTGTCCTTAAGAAGTGGGTGGAGTGTTTACAGAGTACGTCACAAGTAATTATAAATAAGCCAGGGGGTTGTTATCATTGAAAACCATTAATGGGCCAGTAATTACCTTTTTTGATTACTTTTCTCTAGTTTAAATGTTTCTGGTGTTTTTTAATTGTTGAATTTTGTTGTAGAATAAAACAGGTTGTTAAGACAGAATAGAGTTTTAAACAATCTGTGGTGTGTGTAGTTATGATTTGATTTATTATTTTATGAGAAAAGTTTTGGTAATAACTCTGTAAATTTGCGTAAAATTAGTTAAATGTTTTTTTACACAATACTTAATGTATCATCGGCTTTTAAAGTGCAGTAAGAATTTGTACTGTACATTTTAAAGAAAATTTTGCTTGAAGTAAATAATTATTTAATTGCCAGTTTTACAGACAGATTATTTGCCAATAATTGCTACAAGTGCATCATTCACAAATAATATAAGTGCTATGGAAACTGATCTTTAGTGAAAAAAAAAAAGACAAAATCAGTGAAAGCTTTAAGATTTGGGACTCTGTTAATATCCTCTGGTGACACAACAGATGGACACTGTCCACTTCACCTTATCTGGATAGTAAATCCCATTAATGCCCCTATTTCACACAGACCACGAATCCCACGAATTGCCAGGAATTGACAAATTTCAGGATTCGTGGTTGAATCGTAATCAGTTCATGAAGTTCTTAACAGATTCGTATATATGCGTAGTCAGTTCTTGCAATTCTTGATCAATCACGAACTGATTATGGTTCAGCCACGAATCCTGAAATTTGTCATTTCCTGGCGATTCGTGGGATTCGTGGTCTGTGTGAAATAGGGGCATTAGACAGTGAATTATCACGTCCAGACAGAGTTATGTCACCGTGACATGGAGAGAGTGCAGGTGAAGCCACTGGGTAGTTTGATGGTCATTATTGAGGTCTTGAAATACAGGTAACATGTAATCATGTTTATGTGTATGTCCGTGACCAGCTCTCATACTCACCTTTTGGTAGAAAGCTTGTTTCTACCTTTGGACCATGTCCAGGTAGTATTTTTTTTTTTTTTATCACCTTCAGCAAGGATTGAGGCTCTTGACCATCATCCAAAAATCAGCATCCCCTGGAAAACCAACATCAGTCTCAATAACGATTCTTTGTTTTATTTACCTTTGATTATTGGATAAACTCATGTTGTGACAGTCTACAGCTTTGGGTCAGTTTGACCAGCCAGTTGAAGTATGGAAGTAATACTGCAAGTTTGTAAACTGCTGTGATTAGCTCCATCGGTCTTAAATTAACCGTGAAATTGGTCATCATCTCAGCTGACCAAATGCCAGGACAAGCTGGGTTGGTTTTTAGAGTGCAAGGTGGCTGTACGTGTTATGCAGATAAAATAGTGGTCAGTTTGAAGGTCACTGCAGTCCACAGGACGGTCAGAAAAATCAGTTTATGTAGTAACGAAGTGGGATGTTTATTCTTGACCGCTACACCATAATCCCTGTAGAGAAATCTGAACAAATTCTGTCTGTTCTGACAAAGACCTGGAGGAAGATGGTCAGGGGTTCTACTGGTCTTTGCCATATATTGGATGTATATGTGTATACATATATACATATACATCCAATATATGTATATGTATATATGTGTATAAAGAGATCCATGTTCATTAACACACTGGTAATGCACCAACCGGATCATTATATATTATATTGTTCACTTCAAGGCCAAGATAATCTATGTACCAGTACAGAAATATATTGAAATTGAACATAATCATAACTAAAATCATGAATTATGAATCTTGGAAAAAAACTTGGTAACTGAAGAAGTGTGCTTTATGACTGATTTCATTGGCACACAGTGCACGTTAAATATGCTTTAATTTCCCTTTTTTTTTGCCAGAATTGATAATCAGTTTTCTCCAGTCAGATCCGTCTCTGTCCAGGTCAATACTACAGCATGCACATCTAAAACTGGTGCCCAAACCTGGCAAAGATCTCTTTTTCATTGATCACAAATGTATGAAACATTTTATATTTAGCAAGCTTTGGCAAGTGGCACTTATTATTGGCTGTACTAGATCTATAACCATAACCTCTTCATTCATGGAGGGATTGGAGTGCAGGTTGTGGTAGAGAAGATAGCTGTGTCACAACTAACACAATCAGCAGCTTCTGCTACCAGGTCCAACATTAATGGGAGAGTTCCATGCTGTTAATTGTCTATATGGTTAGGAATTTGACTCAGTAACATTTAAATGAAATAAAATAGTCTTTTTTTATATAAGTTGGAATAAAATTGATCTGAAGATATTCAGTAATTTGAGCACAACCTTAAACGGGAATATTTTTGTGTTTGTTTGAGTTTCTGTAATGTTGATGTTTCATGATGTGTTTGTACCTAATAAACCATAATAAAAAACGTCAAAATCCATTGTTTTTGAGCCAAGTGCCACACCAGGTTACTAACAGTTTATGAAACGATAACTCCAAGTTTGGCAGTTTTCTCAAAGAAGGGGGAGAGTTGAAGTATTTGTTTGTTATACAATGAGATTAATTAAAGTGCAAAACTAAGTGCTTAGTGTGTGATGAAGACATTTTGCATGTGGTATTTTGTAGATTCATAAATCTAAATTATATATTGCATCAGAAACTATGATTTAGAAAGAAAACAATAAAGAAATTGGTTTTGGATAACATTTGAAGACTAGCCTTGGGGCTGTTAGATTTTACCTATGAATATAAGTGAATATTATAAATATAATAATAAATATATTATAAAATGTCAGTTTATGACTTTTTGAGTTGTTTTATTAACTACTAACTGAGTCAAAAACATAACATCTCAGGCAGAGGTAATAATTATAGTTGACGCTCATTTCAATTTTTACATTATAAATCAAGTGTTTATAACACAACTATTGGACTCAGCCAAGTTTCACTCATTAAAAATGAACTAATTTTTCTGCAAACACAATCTCATAAAAGTTTACAAAATAAAGAATTATAATATATATTTATTGTCATTTTTCCAGGTCATAAAACTTCAGATACATAGAACATGGTTGGTTGAAGAAATCCCCCCCTCCCCCACCACACCTGACTTGTTTAGCCACTGCCCTCCCAGGGGGGCGTAGTGGGCAGTGCCACCATGGACCTCTTAGAGTTTCTTAAAGAGGCCGAGCTCCAGGAGTATTATACTGGACTGAAGACAGACTTAAAGGTACAGTGATGTTTTTTGTGTGACAGGAATTTTATTTTTCTGTGTCAAATTTTCAGTTTTGTGTTTTAGGATAATGAAGATGTTTTAGGTGCCTGGAAGTTGACATTGTTGCATTCAGTTTATATTCTATTTGCATCTGTTTTAAAGAAAAAGCTATACAGACTAAACATCTATACAGCATTATTATTTACAAATATCAGTACTGATAATATTATTTATATTTTATTTAATTTCTTTCAAAGGTGCACAATGTGTCTCAGCTGAAGTATATGGAGAAAGCTATATTTGTACCACCAGCGTTAGCGCTGGCGGTACACATGGTTTCGGTCTCGTCCGGATCGTTCCGCCGGCTCCGCCGGCTCCGCCGGACGGCTACCGTTACCGCTTCTCCTCCTAGACGGTAAGGCCCCCCATACCCATCTCATGGATTTAGGTCACCTATAATCTCAACTCGTTCCACGTAAAATTTGGGCTTTGTCGGTATTGGGGTCTGGGTGTGGCACTCATTGCAATGCACCCTTGTCTAAAAATGGCAAAATTAAATGCTAATTATCTNTTTATATTTTATTTCCATCTTTCTTTCCAAGGTGCACAACGTGTCCCAGCTGAAATATGTGGAGGAGACTGACCTCAGTGACCTTGGAATGACCAAGCCAGAGATCCGACGCCTCAAGAAGTATTACAGGAAGGAGTGCCCACAGGGGGCGCTGGGGAAGTTTAAGAAGGTAAGCTTGTCTTGGAGTGGCAAGGCAAAACATAAACAAAAAAGTGTGATCTCTAATTTTAGTCTTGTGTGAATCAGTTTTACTGTCCCAAAATGTCAGAATTAGGTGTTTCGTGTATGTGTGTGCACGCACACGTCTGTGTGTGTGTGCATATGTGACTTTTGTGCGCGCGTGTGTCTGTGTGAATGCCTGTGTGTCTGTTCCAAATTCAAAAAATCTATTTACCCTTCTTCTGTAAAAAAAGAGTGATTATTTACTGAAATATGAGACAAGACCTATTACGAGTCTTCTGATGGAAGATTCCTCTTCTTTTATGTGCTGGCTGCATATGTTATTCACAAACTCACAAAGACGATTAAATAATTCATGTCTCATCTTTCTTTGTACATAAATTTATCCACAGGGAGGATATTAACATTGATGAGCTTATTATACAGATACAAATGAAGTCATGTTATTATCATTTTATGATTGTTTTTGTCTTGTGTAGCCTCTGGGGTTATTGAGATATTAAATTTTGATAGACTTTCTTCTCAGCATATTTTCTCTTCTTTCTTGGAAGTTGTTTTCCAAAGTGGTTACTGAAGTTGGTGTAAAATGATCAGATTTATATTAATGGCGTATTGACATTATACAATATTTTTGTCACTGTACTATTTTTCCTTTGTTTTAAACATTGTTTTTGCAGAAATAAGCACCTGATTTAAATTTGTTTTGTTGTCAGTGGATAAAATTTAAACACCTGACGTAAATGATACTGCAGGACATAATACTCAGAATATCTTGCCCCACCTGTGAGATTCCCTATAAAGAAGCTAGACCAAAAAATAGAAAGAGATTTGTATCCTCAATTAGGAATCATGAGTCAAATTACTTCATAAATGTAGAACTAAAATTCGTAACCAAAGGTTGAAAAGAAAGAGGATATTGAAAAGAACGGTCTCCTTAAAAAGAGGTACAATTATTTTTTAAACTGGCTTATGGATAAAATTACGCAATCCACAGACGCTGACATCATTAGTAAGGATGGAGCAGTTCAATTGCCACTCCCTAAACACATTTTGTTGGGGGAAAAACATACAGTTCACATCAGGTCTAACTTAGAGCAAAAATAGACAAGTTCTTGTCACCAGCCAAACTGATAGGTTTTGGAAAGTTTAGATGACATTGTGGTGTCAGGCAGTTTAGTTCAGACCATGATGGGCTTGTGATGTCATTTAGTCGTATTTAAGTCATAGCTAGTCTTGGTATGAACACGGTTGATAGTTCTATTATGTTCTTCCATGTTCTTCTCTCTGTGTTCATTTTTTTCTGCTCCAAAAAATGGATGTTACATTTTAGTTGTGTTTAACAATTACCTTCTAGTTCTGTTCTGACGGTGGGGAGTCACCTGGTCAACCTTGCATATAAAATGTGAGTCCTGTTGGCCAGAGGCATGTATGTACAATTAAGCTCTAGTTGCAGATAATCTCTCTATATTTTGAGTAATATTGTTATTGTTAAAAGTGATTGCCTACCATGTCTTTATGTAAAAACATGAAAAAGCTTGTTTCTTTGTTTTAGAGTTGCATGATGCTCATCATTTTCACACAACCTGCTGTCC